CAATCACAAACTCAGTGAATCAGATGTTCAGTCAGTCAATCACTCTGTCAGTTAGTCGAACAGGCGGTCAGTCAGTCAATAAATTAGTCAATCGATCAATTTCTCGGTCTGTCAATCACATACAGCATTCAGCCCGTCAGTACATCCCTCAGTCAGTCAGTCAATAACTCAGTCAGTGAATCAGACATTCAGTCTGTCAATCACTTTGTCAGTCAGATTAACAGTCAGTGAATTAATCACTCAGTTAGTTATTCAGATTTTCAGTCAATCAGTCTCTTAGTTAATAGAGCACTCAGTCAGTCAATCAGTCAATTAGTAAGTAATCATTCAGTCTTTCAATCGACTACTCAACCAGTTAGTCAATCACTCTATTAAATAAAGACTCCATCAATAAGTCATATACGTAAGGGTACATTTTCAAATAATTTAAGTAAATTTATATCTGGAAATAGTTTTAGCGCAGTCCTTTATTTTCACAGTATTTTATAGAGTATCACATGGCTGCACAGACATTTTACTCACGGCTGTCAGGTGGCATGGCAGAGTTACAAAATTGATAGATCGTTTGGTACTCAACAACTTCAATGTGCGCCGAGGCAGTCACAAATAGTCAGCCAGACGGACAGACAGGCAATCAAAGCGTGACTCCTGCTTTTGCTATGCGAACTTTGCCTGACCTCACGGCCCTATGCCAATAAACCAGCATTGGAAATATGTGTGTGTGTTCTTGTATGTTTATGTAGAAATACCCTTTTCACTGGTGTACATTTGATAAATTTTTAAGAAGCTTAGTGCAACGTACGCAATATTTGTTTTCTTTGACAACGTCGTTTAACCCCACACATTTCATTTACTTTGCCACCAACTGGTGGCAAGGTGGGTTGCTGCAAAAGAAAAGCGCAGTAGAAGCTCAGTAAGCCGTAAGTATTTAAAAAGCTTTGATACAGCGTTCTTAACTGTCAGTTAAGTGGCTTTGTTAACGGCCATAAATGAGTTTTAAACCTTTACGACTTGCACCCCTAAAGACGAGCAAGCGGTTCGAGACACCGACAATTTTTTATTGAAGCGTCTTTAACTTCCTATTAAAAATACTTGTCTCTACCGTCAATATAGATACCTTGATTAAAATTCATTTTTATGTAAACGCGAAGAGTCCATTTTATGCTCTCTTTAACTGCCTCTTGCGCTTACTTTCAGGCGAGCTTAATTTTTGCGATTTCTCTTTGTCTTACATTCGTAAACGTTTCACTATAAGCCAAAAGTGAATTCAACTCTATTATTCACTGAAAGATTATTATTATTCTCAAAGATAATCTCTCGCTTACAAAAAATATTCAAATATATCTACAACTCCAACCTATTCTAATGCAAACTTTTGTGGTGCCCAGTTGGCGACTGACATTTAAGGCCAGCAGAAAATTCGAGAATTATGAAAAATGCAAAACCTTGGATTAGCATAAGCGTGTCCAAAAGTTCTTTTGTTTGTTGAGGCACACAAAAAAAAACAAATCAAAAAGTAAGAGAACCACGTGGAATCCAAATTAAATTAATGAAGCATAACAAGGAATTGTGCAAGCGTACAACTTTTGGCTACTTTGTTTGAGTTGGACGTACAGATACAGCCAGAGAGGTGATGGCAAAAGAGAGACAGAGAGAGAGAGAGAGGGAGAGAGAGAGAGAGAAAAAGCGGGAGAGGTGGTGTAAGGTGGATGAATGGCCAGTTAAGCCACAGCCAGTAGCCAACAGTCCTTTTATGTGGCTTAAAGCGGCGCAACTGTTGCTTCAGCCATAACGAAAATTTATGGCTTATCAATTTGCGGGACACGTGCAAAAAGGGCCCAGCTTCAGGATGTCAGCAACAGTACGGCATAGGGCAGGGAGCCGAAGGGGCAGCATCACCCCGAGGGCGCATAAAGCGTAGCAGATTCAATTAGCAGCTGCTCGAAATCTTTTCTCATGCACAAAGGCCGCTTTTAATAGCTGTCTATGGCAAAAATTGAGCATACGCAGCGTACACCGATGGGACATAATTTAATATTTTGTTTATCGAATGGACCAAATGATTTTTGAGCATGCGATTTCCTACCAGCATATATGCTGCACAATATAAATTTTAATTAAATTCCATGTCTGGCGTTTATTTTAACAATTTCGTTAATTTTCGTTGCGGCTGCTGCCGACCCCAGCAATATTATCGTCATGTTTTGTTGCTTCTATACCCTGCATTCATTTAAACTGGCTGAAAAGGGATATATACTGTCGTGCAAATATATTGATTAGGACTATTTAACTTTGAGAGTCTGTCCTTACTGGAGACTTAATTGGAAGAGGTCCATTCTTGATTCTTGGCTTAAAGTCCTGAAAGTTACAAAAAAAATAGACTTTAAGCCCAATAGTTATTTGAGAACACATTTTTGCTTAGAGCGATGCTGTGTTTGTGAAACGCAATCCCTGCTTTGAGTATTCATTTATAGAGGTAAGTATAAAATGCGGTCCGCTTGGCTTCAGATAGAGGCTACCTCTTAGTCGATCACTCTCGACTAGCTAACTTTTACTTTCTGTTATTAATTCTGTTGTCCAGCAGTGCGATAGTCTGAAAGTAAACGCAAGGGCGTCAGTTGCCATTATTTGAAGGGGGGTTAACTGTTTGTCTTGCTAATTAAAGTTGTGTTAAAAGCTGAGCTTTTTGTATTTGTATCTGGCAGATACTTTGTGCAAATCAAAGTGCCCAGCAGGCATAGCAGCGGGAGCGGTTCCTGTGGGTTGTTTGTGTATGTGTGTATGTGAGTGTGTTAGTGTGTTTGTATGTGTGTGACAATTTGTTACGCTTTAATAATGTTAATTGCTTTACGGCTGCCAACTTTTCTGTCTTAGCCTAAGGCAACTAATTGGAGCAACTAATTGATGTACGCATCTCTTTTTTCCTATTTTTTTTTTTGGGGCATGCTGTAACCTTTGCAGCCAATTAGCTGATGCTTGGCATTTGCTTACACATGTTTATTTCAGCAGGCAGGTAAATCTGTCCGGAAATAATAGAGTGTTTGCTGATTTGTTTGTTAAACTAACAGCATACTTTTATTTGTTTTGTGTGCTCCCGCACAAGTGTTGTGTGTTATAGATTATGTCAAGGCAATCGACTGCTATCGCAGCAAATAAATGCACTATTACCAAATATTTAAAGGGGAAAAACACACGTTCATCTACACATTTCTAACTTCATCATATAATTATAATTTTTTATAATCGTTTATATTACCAATTAATTATTAGCCCAGTCAAACACCTGATTGTGCTTGCGTGCACCCACATAATCCCCAGCTAATTTGCCAACCTAATCCCCAATTAAGTTGCACATAAATCCTATTTGCCATGGAGACAAATTCCAAGCTGGTTTTGCCAATATTAACCTCTAATAAGTAGCTTGTTGATGCTGACATTATTTATAGATGGTTAGTTCTTTGGCCAGATAAAAACCAATATTTAAAATTGCCGAAGGGGCTCTGCACAGAATGGAATTGAATTGCAGCTAAACTACGCAGTTAGCGTCAGCGTATCTGCAGTCGGCACTTATGTAATTGAAATTGTCATCAGCCATTAATGTCATAAAATGTAAAACCAATGAAATGACGTTTAAAGTTGCCACAGCTGTCGCAGCAGCTGAAGAAACAAACATTAAAATTGAATGAGCCACCGCGAAATCGAAGACAACAATTGAGCGACAGCAGCAGCAGCAGCAACTCGACGCGATGCGGAAGCGAAAGCAAAAGCAAATCGAACTCTGTTGTATCAATGAACATCACGCTGCGTATACGTAATTTTTTGTGTTGACAATCGTCTGACATTTGTTTCCTGGCCCGTGCCAGCAGTATTAATAGCCCAGAGGCAGCTCTGACTTTTACTATATCCTCTACTCATTGAAATTGGTTATGTAAGAGACAAAAGGAGATTACACTTATTCTCGATCAATCACAATCAATGAGGATTTTTAGACTTTTGCGCATGTGTTGGAGATTTTAACTGTATATACCATAGATATTCTCCGCTTGATGATAAGCACAAAAGTTCTCTAAGATTTAGTTAGAACTTGAGAGTTTGGGGCTTGAAGAAGCACGTTGCGCTGCTGGTTACAGGGTATCTTCTCGTTGAGCACACTCGACGCCAAGCACACTCTTGTTTATCCTTCTTTATTGTCACTTGACAATTGGCTGACATTATTTAACAGACGCGCATCTGCTGCCTGTGTGGGCGCATTCTGTCTATACTTCGTTCCGTTCCGTTCTGCTCCATGTGGCAGCACAGTGGGCCTTAAAGGGTTAACGTTGGCAACCGCTGTTGTTGGGCTGTCAGACTGCGCTGTCTGCGTTATCTGGCGCGCCCATCTGCGCCTGCCAGCTTGTCGACTGCATCCAAGACAGAGTCTGGAGCTTTGGATCCTAGTCTGTGGCTGTTGTCTTCCACTCGCTGGCTTCTGCTCCTGCCCGCTGTGGCTCAATGCGTGTCTGCTTCTTTGGCTTAACAAATGATAAACTTGTCGCTTGTCGTCAGCTGCGTCTATGTCTGTGCCTGTGTCTGCGTGTTGTGGGTTTAAGTCCTTGTCCATTTTATTATTAGCCTCGGACGTGCAAAACGCCTCTGCACTTCAGAGTGTAGCTAGAAGCCCTCTGCCATGGCCAGCCGAGCGGCGGCAACTGAGCAACTGTTGCATCTGTTGCAACTGCAGCAATGTGGCAAATTGCTAAGTACAAATTGCATGGCTAATTTGAGCTGTTGCACCGTTGACAACCTGACCGCAGAGCGCATTAGACAGTCAGAGGTGTGAAATGTGCAGTGGTTGCATGAATAATTGAACAGCCTACACAGCAAACAATTTTCTAATAAATTTTAAATCACTAAGCTTTTACATTTACATCATTTTTGAGGTAAAATTCGCTATGCTCAATTCGAATGTGCTCTAACTTAAATATTTTATATAAATTAGTCAAAGACTATTATTTTATTTACTTTTAAACGTTTTTTTTAACGATAAATAATAAGTATATTTAATTTAAAGTCTATTTTCATTTTAAATTTCTAACTTTTTTTGTCTAATTTTTTTACTGTGTAGCTAGCACCTCAACCTGATACGCTTCCTGCATAAAGTGGGCAACTTTATGGCCCCAGTGCGGGTAATAACTATTTTTGACTGATGTTGGAAGAGAAACAAGTGCCTTGTTGCATTTGCGGGCAACAAAGAGTTGATGTAAACAAACATCAAATTATAAATAAAAGTGGCAAATCTGTGCCAGTTCATAAATATATATATATATATAAACATTTTTGTGGCTGCCAGAATATTGCATTCACCCACTTAAAATTTACATTTATTTTCAATTCTTTTCAAATGTAGTATTAAGTGCACACTGAATGTCCTAAACGTAAGAGCGATAGCAAACAATGCTCTCGAAAAGGAAAGTAGCAAATATCAGATCTCAAAGTCAACGCGACATGTTCAAGTTTACAAAAGCTACACCACAAAGCGACAGGAAAGAAAATCAATATGCAAAGGTTCATCGAAGTCTGGATACCCTTGCAGACGAAAGCTAGAGCATAAGAACCCTAAATATTTCATTAAACCGTTTCCCAACAATGCTCTTACAAGTCCGTAAGGAATTCTAAAAAAAAAAACTTTTTTTAATGTTTCACTGACAGCAGTAAAAAGTACAGTTTCCTTCGGTTTGTTGCGTGCTGCAAACATTTTGTATTCATATATTTTTCGATTCAACAAGCATATCATAATTCATTAAAATTTGGCTCTCAATTTGCAATGCACTGCGCAAGCGAGTAGAATAAGTGAGTAAATCAAACAAGGCGAAATTGCAAATTTTAAAATGCAAAAACAATCAAGAGTCGTAAACATTCAAGTGTTTACTTAAGCTGCTGTTAAATCAGGTGAGAAGAAAAAAAACACTATGAAAATGTTAACTGAACAGTAAAACTTTAACAACTTTTTCCAGCTGTTTGCCGTAAAATGCAACTGCCAATCGGAATTGACTTCATTTAGTTAAGTGCAAATTATTTTGTGACCCAATTATGCACACTCTGCTACTATTTAATCGATTAATTAGCATCCATGAATGAGTATTCACTTCGAGTAGTGAATAACAAATGCATTCAAGTGTGCAGTCACAAGACTTAACACCCGTTGCCTCAAGTGAAATTGAAATTAGTAACGAGTTTAGCTTTAACCCTGAGCTAGGGTCTCAAAATTTGTTGCTTATCACAGTTTATTAAAGTTGTATACCCTGCTTACAACGAGAAAACGAGTATATCTGTTGTCCGCACAAATATTGATCATTAATCGTTAATAATTTTGTAAATGCATACGACATACTACTAGAAAGATTACCATTGAAAGGAGCTATGCATATTTTGAAATCTTTAAAGGAAAAAACTAAACAAAAACCAACTTCCGAAGTCAAATGAACACCTTTTGGCTTCACATTTTAACACTGTGTATAGAGTATTGGGCAGTCGGCTGCAGCCGACTTGAATGTTCTGAATTTTATTTTTACATACTTTTCTCTTTTCTAAAACTCCATTAGCATGCCGAACAGCTGAAAAGTCATGTTGTTTGCGGCCTATGCCAAATGAATTTGTTTAACTGTTAACGCTTTGCACGTTCTATAAACGATTTAGAGCGCACCGCACTCCGCACTTCACTCCGCACTGCACTTACAGCGTACACTTGATCTGAGCATAAAGCCCATAGAATATATATTTATATACTGCAGCACAGATACAATTGATCAAAGATACAGATACTTTTATAGCTAACCACTAAACAATTTGTTTAATTTTTTTTTTACATAATTTTAAAAAATTGTTTTAACCAACATTGAAAAGCCAAATGGCCAGCAAATTGGCTGTTGTCAAGCTGTCAGGCTCAGTTTGGGCCAAGTTTGAGCTAGCGTTGCGTGAACCGCGCGCGTCGAGACTCGTTTGTTAACTGACAAACGCTGCCAACCTGCTCGAAGTCAGCTGGCGGCCAACCAGCCAGCCAGCCAGCCAACCAGGCAGCTGGACGCTTCATACCAAACGGTTCGACTTAAAACAAATAAACAGCAACAACAAAACAAGTTAACAACAGAGCAGCTGCTATCAGAGCAGCTGCGGCACAGCTTTCGACGAAAGTAAATTGAATTTTGGCAGATATTTCAGGTTCTCAGTAAAAATGATATGTATTTGCAATTCTAAATTTGATAATTCATTTTGAATACACTTGCTCTTGCGATCTTGTTTAAGCAAATATCGCAAACGTGTAAGCTATAAATAAATTTAAGCCTCTTCTAATATTTACCTCAAGTACAACTTTGAAATATATACTACCGAATATTATTGTTTGTTAAGCTTTCAGTGGAAATTTGTCAACGGATACATTCGCATCTTGTTTTATTAATAGCCTAATTTTTGGTAAATCAAATCAAATGTGTACAGCGAAACGCTTCTGGAACGATTAACTACGATTTTAGATTTTCATTTAGAAAATATTTTATCATATCCAATTAATCCAATTTTAAAGCACAAAAACAATATCCGATTATAGTCCCAAACTATTATTTGTTGCCATAGCTGAATATATATATATTACCAACTACCTTTTATAAAAAAATGATTTGCAATTAAAAAAATCGGTACATCAGACCAAGAAACACTTTGAAACATTTGAATTATGTGTACATAACAGATGTTGGCTATGCTAGCGGAATGCGCACTGTTAGCCATCGAACATGTTGCATTGGTGTATTGTTGAGTTGCAGCTGAGCTTTGCAGCTAGAAACTTAAATATTCCAGAGATTTATTTAATTCGATTTGTTTAATTGAAAAATTTTGGCTATTTGTTGCTTTATTTGGCCAGCATATCAAAGATGGTGACCCATTTGTGCATTTACAAAATTTAAATTACAAAACTGCGAAATGTTTGCCAAGCAAATTGTTGATTTGCTTAAGCCTGCCAACGGGTTTTATTGCTGCCGTGTGGGTGGTGGCAGCAAGCTGTTGCTGCTGCTGTTGCCGCTGCTGTTGCTGCTGCTGCTTCTGATGTTGTTGTTGTTGTTGTGATTGCTGTTGCATGGTGCCTCATATTAATTGCAGTGCTTCACTGGTAAAGTCGCCCACGCAGCAAATAAAACAAACAGCAAACAGCAAAAGTTGCATCAGTTCATACTGAACAAATTTTCAGCTTAAATTCAAAACGTTTTTGTATTTATATAATAAAATTCTAAAACTAGTTTTCAGGAGAAAAATGTATCAGTACTTTAAATGGGACTTGGGTTTGAACCGGTGAGAATGCGAATGTTGCAAAACAAAATTTAATTCAAGAAAACTCTAAAATTTGATGAAATGTAAGCACAATTTTTTTTTACTGTGTTGTCGACCCACTAGCCAAAAAGCCAGTCGGAGACGCAGTCAGAGTTGGAGTCAGAGAACGCCTACCTGGCCAAAACCCCACACGTGAGCATGTCCAGTTAGACAAAGCACACGCCTTGGATGGAGCCCTGAACCTGGAACCTAAGAGCTGCTGCGAATTTGCATTTATTTACATTTGAGTAGTGTGTCTAAAAAGGCGCATGATTAAGCAATAAATTCACACGATCTGGCAACTGTTGCTGTTGCTAGTGGGTGTTTGTTATTGTTGCGGCTGTTAACGGTCCCTGTTGCTGCAAGCCCCTTAGTTCCATTATTTGTATTATTATTATTATTATTTATGGTGCCTTTGCTTGTTTGCCCATTATTTTGCTAGCATTTTTGTATTTTCAATTGATTTCGCGTTTGAGGGAAAGCGGAAGCTGTTCAAAAATAGTGCGACAAACACGTCTGAAAGCCAAATTTATTGCAAATATGTTGGGTCATTGCACGGTCAGACCGATGGCGACAACAGGTGTGTCCAGAAAACGCATTGTCATTGCCGCTTAAGGCCGTCAAGTGCTTGGATTAAGTTGTAATGAGATGGGAGAGAGTATCTCTACATAAAGTAAATGTAACAATAAAAAGCACTGAGGCTTCGGGTCCGAGTCTCTGGTTATAAATTATCCAACAGCTGTCCCGTTTGTGAAGGGAAAAGCCAAGTGAAAAGAATTCCAAGACATAATTCTTTTTCATTCCATACATTTTTTCTTACAACACCAAATTTTGCGAGTAACGAACTACAAAAAAAAAAAAAAAAAACTCTGTAACCACCTCCAAGCCTGCTCTTCCTAAATATTAACCAAGTGAAGTGATTTGTGGTGTGTTTACATCTCGTCTGGTTTATGGAAATAGTAATACCGGTTACCGGGTCCCGGCAAATACAGATGTTCGCGGAACTCTTGCAGAGTGAAGGCATTCGGATTGTAGACAAAGCCACTATTGCTTTGATGCGAGGAGATAGATGACTGCCGCTCAATCTCTGGCTTGATGACCGATTTTTTAACACCAAGCATTTTCCAAATGTCAAACTCCTCCTCCTGTTCCTCGTCTTGCTCCTCATTGACACTCAAATCAGTGGACGATTCGGATGGTCGATTCCTGATGCACTCGTCCCGTCGCTCCAAATCGTTTTGGATTTTCGTCAAAATGGGATGCCTTAATCCAGCTAAATGTTGAAGAAGGCTCTCCTCCGTTTGGGTTTCATCTCCCAAATACGTATGTTGAAGCTCATAGTTATTGCGCCTTACAATGACATCCGCCTCGAACTCCTGATCCAAGCTCAGATCACAGGCGCGACAATCGAAATGGATGATCTTGTGATTAGTTTCCAGTCCGCGCAGTAGCTCATGTCCCACCGATGGATTCAGCATTACGGCCGCCATATCCAGGCGGCGCAATGGATTATGATAGCGCAACAAAAAACCAATATTGGCTGACACCCGATAAGGAGGACACTCAATGCCGTTGATGTTCAGCTCCTCGACATGATTGGTGCCAACGAGATCGCGAACTAGCATCGTCAGGCCACTATCGCTAATTGGATTATGGGCCAGACCCAGATACTCCAAAGGGCTGCCATCGGGATCATTAAAGGAATGGCATCTAAGTGCATTTCCGATGGCCTCGACAGCAGTACGCTCCAGCTTATTATACTCCAGCTCCAGCGCTTTGTACATTTTCGTGCGTTCCAACAGCATTTCCAATGCCACATCACAATTATCGTTCAGCTGATCGAAACCAAAATCGACTATCTCCAGCGCATCTAGCTGCTTAAGGACACGCGCCAATATCAAGAGCTTGATGTTATCCATTCGACTATTGCGCAATCGGAACACTTTAAGCTGGCGCAATGTGTGCAGACCACTCGCTAGATGTAACATGTCATCGTAGGAGAAGTTCATGTGCCGCTTGTGATAGTTGAGCTCCATCTGCGGGCCCAGGAACTCGATGGTCAGCGAAACCAATTGATCAAAATAGCGCACAAAGCTAAGATCTATGTGATGGCAATGCTTGGCGGGATAATCGTAGCGCTTGATGCGTCGCAACAGCTTCTCCTTGTTGCGGCCGTCCGCTACTTTGTCCTCATTATCCTCCGGCTCTGGTTCGACGGCCAGATCGAAGACACCCTCGATGGGCATTTTTTTGGCCTTCTTTTTCTTTTTTCTCTTCGGCTCCGGTTCGGGCTGTATACGCAGAAGCGCTCGATTTCTGCGGCGTCGCTCATGCTCCTCCTTTTTTTCGGCGTGCAATTCGCGCAGCTGCTGTCGAGCTGCATTGCGGGCATTGCGGGCTTGACGGCGCTTTTGCTGCGCTTCCTGGTCAGTGGCTATAGATTTCTTGCTTTCCTGATGGTCGGCGAGATCCCCCGAGGAAGCGATTGAAATGGAATGTACTTCAACTTCAAACATTCTAGCCTTAGGCTCATTTATTCGCACTCCGGACTCTCCATGCTTCTTTTTCAATGGTTGCACTATGGTCACCTCCTCCTCCTCCTCCTCGCACTCCTCTTCTTCATCCATTGTATCCCTGGACACGACATAGGCTTAACACACATTTTCAACTCAACTTTGTGGGTCTAACTTACTTTTCATCGCTGGATATCTCCGACACCACAGACTCTTCCGAGGTAACGTCCAGCTCCTCTTCACTTTCCACATAGTGCGTGAAGGATTCATCCGTTAGCGACTGTAGATGTTGTATGTGCATCGTTCGAACATATTGCCGCACCAGGCTACCCAGTTCGGCCATTTGCTTCTCTGGCCAGTAGGCAGCCGGACAGGCTTCGACCAGCTCCACATACTTGAGGCTCACACCCTTGCCTTTCCAGTCGTACTCATCGAGCTTCTTCAACGACAGCGTCTTGTCCGAGCTTTTGGCGAGCACCACGCGTCGCCAGAAGCGCACATCGTCCACAAAATAACAGTCCTTCAACGGCAGATTAACGTCCAGGGCATCGTAATGAACGCGCAGCTTTAACGGATCGTGTTTCACCAGCGGCGAAATATATCTGGTGCCCATTTTTGCCAACGCCCGCACACATAAATCCGCCAGTGTACCCAGGCGTTCATTCTCGATGAACGCCTCGGCGTAGACCTCGCGATTACGCTCGCTATGAAGCCGCCTGGTGCCCATGGAGGGTCTGTACAGGTCATACTCCATCAGCAAATCCGGTTCATTGGGTATGGCAAAGGTGTTGGTGTTTGCCGGCGGCAAGAAGTCCGCATCGTCCTCGTCATCCATGGCTTCTTATATTATAATGGATATTTTCTTTAAAATATATTTTGTTCCTTTTTAAACTTGTGAAAGAAAACGTGCGGGATACTGAAGGAAAATGAACTAAAAGTCTGTATGTACTTAAGACTGTTTTGATGTTGAACTCTAAAGTACACTGATTTTAACAGAAACCAAATCTTGGTTTACTTTAAAATGGAAACCCAGATGTACAATCACTCAACAACATATTTAAGCTTAAGTTATTATTTTACACATTTACAGCATCAAGAACTTTTGTCCATGTTTTAAATTTATAAATGCTTACATTGTAAATGACTTCATTGCTTGGGCTGGCGGATAACATCTTTATTGGATTTTAAATGAGCTGCCTCAACGGCGCTTGGCGCTGGCGTCAGACCCCGGCGGACCGAGACCCAGACCGAGACCGAGACCGAAGCCCAAGCCCCGGCCCGAACTTAAGCCTGACCTCGAGGCAGCTTTGGTCATGCCAGCAACAACAACATATCAACATCAACAATATCAACGACAACGACGCATTGTTTCCAACACTGGCTCGTGGCCAGGCATCTCTCTCTCTCTCTCACACACTCTCTCTCTCTATCTCTTTCTTTCTCTCTCTCTCTTTTCGCTGTCTTTGTCTCGACTGCAGTTGATGATGATGACTTAATCGTTGATCTGAGTTCGCATAGGTGGGCGTTATAGTGATTTATTATGCCGCTTGGACACGCACTATAAAAACGGACTGGCCTATGAAAAATAAATATATGTATAAAACAAGAAATCCAAAACGAACTTTGTTGCAACGAATTGCAAATACGCTACATAAGTGGGGCTTACAGTTTATTTAAAACCCGAAGGTAAATTTAACATGCAAATGTGTAGCTCTTTGACAAACAGCATTCAGAATACATCAGACTTAAAGCTGATTAATTTGGCGACAGTTTACTTTATGGATGCATACGAGTAGCTCATTGTAGAGTATAAGCAGCATAGAGAGCATAAAGTGATATGAGTTCTAGTTATGCATAAGAACCAGTTGAAGGTGCGGAACAACATACGCGGTTTATTAGTCAACTTCAGGTATTTACAACCTGGTTGCAAATTTTAGCATGCAACTGAGTAGCTCTTGGCAGTGTATAAGCAGCATAATGCACACATTAAATGATACGAGGTCTGCATAAGCAAAAACCAGTTGAATGTGCGACGTTTTAACTTGTGTCGCTTTGCTCTGCTTTAGTTTTCTTCACTTTGCTTGTCCCACACTTTGTCCTACTGCTTTAATTTCTCGCTCGGCTTGTGGCCTTTTGATTGCTACTGGGTGGGCGGAAGGGGCGACACTCCCGCCCCCTCGGGCACGCTGTCTACCCGGGACTTGGCAGCGCTCGCTATCTGTGTCCTTGCCTGGGCCCAGGTATAAGAGAAGCCGAGCCTTAAAATGATATATCACAGATGGCGGGCGCAGCTGTGCGCCAGTTTTCAGCCGCTTAACGCTGCAATGCCATAATCATCATCATCTTTCCCATAAAAGAAAGAGAGCGAGAAAGAGCGCCAACCATTTATTTATGCACTTGACTTGCTAGCCTCGCCCCCCATCCGCCATCCTCCATCCACGCCCTGGGCCAATTGGGGCGTTGTGCGAGGAGGCGATGAGTGGGGATCATTTGCAGAGGGCAGCCCTTAATGAGTGTATCATATTTCACACAAGTCTGGACCGCTGCTTAAGCTGTCAACACCTGAGCGGCCCGAAGCCACCGGCAAAGTTTTCGAGTGCATCTTCGTGTGCACTCACAGGGGACACTTGTGAATCAGTGAATACTCGAACCAAAAACTTATGCCTGCATGCACAACAAAGTCATCAAATGGTAAATAAATAAATGCTAAACTGTCTCCATCAAAACTTACGAACAAGTCTTTCCAGAGCAGCAGCAAAAGTTTTTCCTGTTGCACAAACTTGTCTAAGTAGGTGGCAAGCAATTTTACTTGCTACTGGGTATATGTAAAGCTGCTTGCCATTCAATTGTGTAAATACTCAAATGTGCATGTTGACAAAGATCAGCAAAAAAGTTAGCAGACCGTTAAAAGTTTTATTCTGTGGCTTACAAGCTACTTGTGTATTTATCAGATGGATTAACATGAAAAATAGCATTTCAGATCTAAAGCTTTTTCAGCACTTGCATTAAATGGAAGCAAACTTTCTACAGACGTCGATTACAATGAACTTCAATATTTATCTGCTGGATTAACATGATGATGGGACCAAGTATTTGTCATTATTCCTATTCAAACACAAGTCTTTTTAGACATTCGTAAGGTTTAGCTTGCCTTGCCGGCTGAGCAAGGTATCAGATGGCAATCTATGCAGACTGGCTTTAAAACAGAGTTACTACTAAAAAATGTACAACATGAGAAGCCCGTTTAAATTGAGGTAACCTCGAAAAGCATCTCATGAGTTACGCAACAGTTGTGTCATGTGCGTTTAGGGTAACTACAACTAGCTTGGCCTTGAAATGAAGTCATAACCAGCATAATTGGTGTAAGCGAAGCTTCCTCAAGAACACACTACAATTCCAATTCCAGCCCGAGAGTTGGCCAGCCTATGCCTGTAATTGGGGCCAAATCATTAGGCACGTAAGCAATTAGACTGGTTGTTAAATGAGCTGCAGCAGCCACTAAAGACTTATAGCCGAGACTCGACTCTGAGATGAAGATGAAGCTGAAGCTGAAGAGGCGGCAAAATGTATACACATACATATATATTTAGAATTGCGCAACTCAACAGATCAGCAAAGTCGTGTAGCGCAGTGTCAGTTAATAGTCCATAAAGTGAGTAGTGCAAAGGTGTAAAGGTGCAAAGCTGAAGCACTGGAACTGAGGCCTCAACTAAGCAGCACAAATTGTAACGTTGAAAAGCGAAATGTGCACTGTAAACAATTTTTGGCTAACATTTAAATTAAGCGATTCTGTTATTTGTTATTAATGAAAGCAAAGAAAGTATAGTTGATTTAATTTGATGAGCATCGTGCATCGTGAACCTTTCGAAAGATTTCCAAATTCTTTAAGCTCGCTAAACCTATTTTTCAAAGTAAAGATTAAGTGCGCACTCAGGCAAATTTATTTTAATATGAAACATTACTTCAATTTACGACCATAGGGATCTAAATTAGAAGCAACCATTTTTTGACGGTGTCAATTCAAAAGCCACGCGCAACACGTTGACAGCAGGCCATAAAGGAAAAGAACAGACCAGAAACCGGCAAGAACAACAAGAGCAGCAGCAACAGCGGCATCAAAGCGCTCTTAGCCAGAAAGACACGCACATTAATTATGTTAATTGAACTGTGGCACACTCTAAAGGCGAGATAGAGAGAGAGAGAGAGAGAGAGAGAGAGAGAGAGAGAGAGAGAGAGAGAGAGAGAGGGAGGGCGCGTACGAGTGAGAGTGAGAGTGGAAGGAGCCTCCAGAGAAGCAACAGTCACATAACTCATAATGCCATTTCCGCATGAACTCTTAAGTTGGCCCCAGACATAACTCAGCTGACAGCGCCTGCATATAGAACTTTAAGCAAGACTTCATTAAAACTTGTGCAGCATTTTGTCTTCTTGGTTTAGACAGCAAACGTTGTTCTGGCCAAAAGGAAACAGGACCAAGTCTGCAGCCAAGACTGACCAAGTGACAGGCTGGCTGGCTGGCTGGCTGGCCAAACGGCAGGCGTAGGCTCCAATCCCAAACAGAGAGAACACAGCAAACAGACAAACTGCAGCCGTGCCTAATGACCACAAAAATAGCCAAATGCAGTTTAATTTATAGCCCAACGCCAACCACTCGGGATGTGAGAGAAGTTGCAATGCCCAACGTTCACATATTACAGCGAGGGCTGCTCAAAAAGTTAGCTAAAACATTATACTGTTCATTTTTATGCGCAGCTTGAAAATCTTTAATATATTATAAAATATATATAATTTTGATCGTTCGAAACAGACAAGTCAATATAGCCATATCCGTCTTGACCTCGGTCGGATGCTCCTTACTTCTCTCTGTCTCCTTTTCTTTATAGATCTCTCTCTCTCTCTCTCTCTCTCTCTCTCAGTTGTGGAGCTATTCTATTGTAACTTTTTATTGGATAAGATCTCTAGATAAATCTTATTTTGTATATTACAAACTTACATTTTTCAGCAGCCATTCGCACCATATTTTTAATTAATTATTATTTCTCATATATATATTCCATATTGAGCTATCAATTCAATCTGAAAAACTTTTCCTTTACTCTTTCTTTTGCTCTCATGAAATACCTTTTCGTCATTTCATAATTGTAAGCATAATTGTTCAGTTTTCTTTTGACCTCTCTCTATATCCATTTGCTTATTTTCACTCTTCGTATACTTTTCATATATTTCTTTCTGCCAGCTTCTCTTGTTGTTTTATCAGTAATTTTATAGTTTTTACTTCTGATTATGCAAGAGCTAGTATTTCTTTCAACATTACTTTCTCTGGAGTGTTGCATTGAAATGAAATGAAATTGATTTTTATTCCATTTTCAGTAGCATTGGAGATGTAATACCACAGCCTTGTTGCGTCGGAATAAAATATTCCAATGAAAGCCGCCGCCAGCAGCAGCTAGTCTTGAAAGCCCCCCTCCGTCCCCTCCGCGAGTATTCTAGCGTATTTTGTTGCCTCCATAAAAGTTGCATTACAAATGAGCGAGCGCGGGAGGTTTGGGGCGTGAGAAGCGCGACGCAACGTTTGAGTGATTTATTTATACGACTAACACCTCTGCCTTAACTTTATGCTAAAGTTTGGTTAAGAGTTAATTTGAAAATTGACGTATCTGCACTATTTGCAGACACAACGATGCCTTTTCCTAGCACTTGCCTAATTTGCAGCCTAATGGCATATCTTTTAATCGCATTAGCAGCTGTTTACTTGTGCAAACAAGTGCTAAAAAGATTGCGTCAAGTGAAAAACTTTTGCCCAACCGAGTATGGTATGAGGTGTGTGAGAGTCTATTAGTATACACTCAAAACAACATGTGTTTACAATTTATTACGTCAATTATATTTCGACTTGGCTTTTTAATGTTACCTGAACATCAATAAGGACTTTATTGTTTAGACATATATTACATTCAA